TCCATACATTTTCATCTCTTTGACCTTAGTTGCGAAAGCGTTTTACTTGGAAAGGCTTGGACTTACGAACAAGAATTGTTTGTGATCTTTATGCAAAACAACGAAATCAGGCTGCATGCAGCTGTTGTGCATTCGTGGGCTTACACGAGTCATCGGCTTTTTTCTAGCTTCGCATTTTGATAATTACCAACCAATTCGATTAAGGAGCGTTCATATGGCGAAAAGCAGAGAGCTTTCACTTACGATATGACAAACAGCTTCAAAAGGACCGCCGATATGGAGATATTTTCGTCCATGCCCAGGAAGACTCCTTTATTTCTTATTGTAATGCTGTGGTTGATCAAGAGAGTAAAGTGTCTTGAGTTGATTTATTAGCTACCTGACTGGTTACTTTCGACCAGGAGCGTTAATTGTGCCATGCAAGTGATAAATGGTGCAACCGAGAGTTCAGACCGTAGCACTGGATTGGCAAGGTGGGGGAATACCTGGAACGAGAAAAAACGGTTGCTAGGAAGGTGGTAATGAGGTGAACAAACAAGTTTCCTCCAGGCTTTCCTCAGTCTTCCCAATTCAAAATGGCGGCTTCGACAATCCACCAGAACAATAGGCACATGCTTGCCAGTAATAAGGCAAGCTGTTGGTTTTCTTGTTTTTCATCTCAATTCACAGTTCAATATTCCACAGCATTTCATGACCATGCACAAAAACAATCCGACCGAACTCCTTCGATAAAGATTCCAAGCCATTGCTTACAAAATATAAAACAATAATAATTTATTTGAAATATTCACAGGTGTGTAAGTGTCAAACATTTTTCTTCACTCTCGATATTAAAATCATAACTTCTTCCCTACCTATTTTCCAGAGAGGACAACACAAACAAGCATCATTAGAGGCCTTGAGATTCTAGGGAGAGTTTGATTACAAGAAGATTTGACATCAAGTGGAAAGCGAAATACTAACATGCTCGTACCTCCTAAAGCTTCTTCAGATTCAAAAAGGTTTGCACAAGTAGAGTTCTCGGTTGGAGGAAATTGCGCCCTTCCTATGTTGTATAACGTACAACCGCTAACGTGTCCAATATCTTAATTTTTTCATTACAACACTAGTTCACTAGTTCTATTGTGTTACTCCGCTCGAAAAACAATGATAATAATAATAATAATTACAAATTTATAACGCGCCTTTTCCATGCAGATATGATCAAAAGCGCGGTACAATGCCATTAAAAAGGTAAAAAGCAAATTAAAACTCAAATGTACCTATTAATTAAGCTAAAAAATAAATAAAGCTAAAAATTGAAATAAAAACTCTTGGTACGTAACGTAAAATTTTAAGAACATTACTTATGAAAAGCAAATCTATAAAGATGTGTTTTAAGTAAAGATTTAAAACGTTAAAAAAAAACAAAACTTGTTCACGCGTGCCAAACGTTGTAAAATTGGAAAATCTTGAACTCACGGTTGTAATCGAATCAGAATCTAAGGGCCTCTAATCGAATAAACTTGCCAAATATTCCAGTAAAATAAAAACAATTACATTACATTACTCAAAACGACACCTTGTCGTCCCAAGTTTAGCATTAAACTTGGTTTAAATTTTTTTAAATTTTTTTTTTTTTTTGCACATTGTCTTTTTTCTGCATGTTGCTTCTCGCCATCACAAAGTTCATTCGCGCCGAATAATGCTGTGAAAATATTCCTATTTGACAGAGGTAACTGTTGTCAAAAGAGTTAACGAGCCCAAAAGTCATCCATCACTTTAAAAAGTACATTAAGACATTACTAATGCTGATTTAAAAACCTTACTCACCCTAATTCACCTGTAAGTACCTCTACAATGAAGTAAATAGTTGTAGTTTTTCTTATTTTCACACAGAGCTAAACTTTAAACTAGTGCTCTGGCATTACAGCTTTCTTTGAGGCAGAAAAGTGTTCCAGAAACTACATCCGTTGTCACTGTGTAAAGGTCATGAAAAAGCATACATGAAATTATATGATAACATAAACAACGACGAGGGCGCACTCTAATTGGTCAATTCAGTGTCTACTATTTGCCCATGGGTGTATACACTGTTAATGTGAGCAAATGCAATGACTAGTTTTCGCGTTTGTTTTGTCTGGTCAAGTAAGAATGGTTCAACTAAAAGAAACTCTTTTGCTGCTGTGCACCGATGGTATGTTCAAAATAAATGGATAAACCACAGCGTACACTATCGAGTAATAGTTGTACGCGGATGGTTTCTAAGTACTCAAAGAGCTAGAGTTTCCCTCGGCTATCGCCTTAAGCGAACACAGTGGTCAAATAATTGCACATGCGTCCTTAGATGGAAAATTTGCTATTGCATACATGGAGAATCTACGTGAGACGTGGGTTTTCGCAGTTTCTAGGAAAATTCTGAAGTTTGCAAGTTCTAGACTTTACCCACTTTGTGTTAGTTTACACTCTCGTACTTTCTTTACACTTTCCACGGCGGCGTGATGAACTCTTCCATAAACTTGGCCGTGCTAGCTTTGTTATGTTCACGGCGGAGTTGCCAGTAAACACCGAGGAAAATGTTAGAAAAAGGAAGAACTAGAACTACACAAGATGTTTGTGACGATTACAGCGGACAGTAGACCGTGCAACAAGAGTAGAAGAGAGGTTCGGTCATTTGCCTTCATCGCCGAAACTAAAACAGTCAATGAACAGTTGGAATATCTCACAATAAAATAAGACCCATATTTAATCTTTCTCCAGCATCCATCTTTTATTTGTCTCGAGCATAGCAATAGTTAGGAATTTCACCTTTCTTCCTCACTTTACGCTAAACACGCGTTCGGAAATCCCTCTTATTGTTTTCTAACTCTCGTGCATGCGCAGTGTTTGACCGCTGTGTTCCTCAAGAGACTCTTGCACTGCTTTTGTGCTTAGCAACCTCCCGCGAGCATCCATAACTCAATACCGTACGTTGTGGTGTTCATCATTTGTTGTCCACATTTGGTAAAGTAACCTAGCTTTTTGAAACTTGTCGTCACATGTAATAAAATCTCGGTTAGCAACTTAGCCGCCTCTCCCTGCCAAAAAAAAAAATTCTCACTTATCTTCTTTCCATCCTATGGCAATCTAATTGAAGAATTGGGACCTACACATTATGGATTTCTTGACTCAGATAAAGACTGTTCTCAGCAATGACTGGTGCAGTCGCTGTCTGTGGACCACACGGTTTTGACTTAGGTATTGTGTGTGTAGAAATTGAGTTTTCATCTAAATAGCGGTGTCTACATTCAAATTTCTTTCACAAATTTAAAAATTTATAAAAATGTTAGCTCACACAAATAGTTATTTTTTTCAAAATACGTTGTGAGATTTAGGGACAGTTAAGCTTTAAGTCAACCAACACTTCTCTCCAGAATTCTGGCGCTGACTTCAGCAAAAGAAGAAGACCTAACATGGAGTTGAAACATGCACCACACATTCACATCTTATGCGCTGAGAGCGGCGCTTTTACGAGGGACATCGTTAAGTGGGGCCTTGGAGTACAAACAACGTGATTCCCGTTATTTTCTGGAGACGATGTTACGCTATTTTTAAGGTTTCACAGGTTTCAGCAGAGTGTAACTTTGAAGGTTACTTGTATCTTCTCTCAACCATGCTGACCTAATCTCGCAACTGCCTCCCTAACTTCTTGATACAGTCAATATTGTCAACCGCTTGTTGCATACGAGACAAATTTAAGGAGACGGTGACCGAAAATTATAAAACAAACAAACGAACATCTTAAAAATCACACAGACATGTACATGCAGTCAAGATTACTAAAAACAACCACATAACATCAAATGCGCTTTAAAGCGACACCACATACTAATTAGGCTAACGCCACCTGAGCCTACGTAGCAGATACTCGATTCAACCTTGCGCAAGTTATTTGGAGCGACAAGCGCGGGAAAGAGGTCATGGCGTAACACCACAAGTGTTACTCTTGCGCGCTTGTAACTCCCGCACTGGATGAGCTTTTGCTACGTAGACTGGGCAGAGAACACTAGTTGTACTCATGAATGAACTTCCTGCTCTAAATTATCCGTTCTTTGGCCGATCTTGGCTAGACGATCATGTTCCTGTATGAAGTGCAAATAATAATAGTAGTATATTAGGGCATCTTTGTGACACAGATCACAAATGATCACGAAATGGAAGCACACATTAAAAACCTAAATTATATGGAAGTGAACTGCACATCAAGTTGATATCAAACGTTCCATCACAATCTGACTGAAAACGCCTTTCGCAATCTATTTCGTGATAAATAGTACGTTGAGTGGGCAGCGAACGATGCGCGTTTGTAAAAACAAAATAAAACTTAAAAAAAATTAAGTAGTCACGCTAAGCCTAGATAGACCAGTAGATTTCTTGCTCTCGATTTCGATGGGTGAAATTTGATTGGTTCTCTTCAACTATATGATGGAAATCTCAAGCTCGTAATCCAAATGTTAACGAGGCGGACGTTTTGGTAAGTAATGCAACGCAGTTCCCAAGGCTTCCCTCATCGAGCAACTAAACCCAACAGACGACATTTGTATAGTAACTACCTACCCTTTCCTCCTCAGAAAGTAAGTATTTGTCGCCGTTCATTTTCGCCCTGTGGTGTAATAACCTTTGGATACTTTCCTCCCGCTGATTGTGAGCCTACAAATGTCGAACAAAAGCCAGACGGTTACGCAAAGTAACGATGAGGAACAAACACCAAAACATGAAAAAATAAAAATAAAAAAATTAAAAAAAAAAAAGGCTTACAAGTTGAATAAACGAGCCAAGTGTCGGACAACTGTTTCTATCAAAAGAGCCGGAAAGGAAAGTAGAAAAGGGAAAGGGCAAGGGGAGGGGGGGTGGTTTCTTGAATTATATTAAACTAATATTAAAGCGGATCATAATAATAAATACTTCTGCAGGGTGATAAATCACACCTTAAACATACAAATTATCTGCACGGTTCTCAGACCTTCTGGCCAAAGTTGATTATCGTACACAGGGGGGAAAGGAGACATTGTCCGAAATATGCTGTCGTAAAGTGTATGTCCCTTCTTATCGTATTCGAGACGTTCTGCGCATCAAAAGCATCAATTATTTTTTCTACTTTCTTTCCGTTTTTCCAACCTACATTTTACTTTTCTAAGTAGCTTGCCTGGGATTAGAGTAATTCGAGTTGAGAACAACCTAGCATAGATTACTTACCTTTGCTAGTTCAGCTTTCTCTCGTAATAGCTTCTGTTCTAATTCAACTTTCTTTCGGCTAAACTGCTCCTGGGTTTCCTGTTAGTTGAGAAAGAATATTTTAACGGAAAGGGAGAACACTAAACAAGGGTGCGCATTTAGAATAGTGTCTGGCACCTCTGAATAAAGAGAAAATAAAGACGGAATGCTAAGAGACTGATGAAAATAATCTAGAACGTCGAAGAGAAGGGCAGACGAGAAAAAGTGATCATCGTTCCTATCACACCGTGACAACAAAAAGTCCATTCTGAAATAAAAATTTGTAAGACGCAGAATCACAAGCATTTTCCGAGAAACCTTGAGATGGCATTATCTTTTCAAGAGGGAATGTTTCGCTACTTGCAATACAAAAAGGACTAGTGTAAAGTTGGAATTTGAGCCCGTCCCGCTCCAAAAGCTGCGGGTGATATGTCACTTAGCCCCTTTTCCTCCCCAACTATCGGCCCAAATATTTGTATACGAAAAGCTGATTCTTTTTATAACCTCGCCCCCATGAAAAAAGGTGTTTTTCTCATCTTCTTTCTTATCTTTGTCTTGTTTTCGTGGTGAAATCCTATTCAGAGGTACAGAAGAGCACAGACGTGTTCTACTTTCTCGTCAGGAGCCCCGCATGGAACCCTTGTCTCGCCACATTTCCGTGGAAATTGGAAAGCCTATGGCTAACTTTTTTCCATATTTTATTATGTCCTCTCCCGCTTAATTAATGCTGCAGATAGCAAACTGCATATCACGGATACAAACCCTCATTTTTTTCTGGTTTTCTTTGGATAGTTGTTCCAACTCAACAAAGATTCTTTGTACGTCTTGTTCTTGTTTTCGACGCTGCATCTCAGCGGCACGTACTCGGTTGTATAGCGCATGCTCTGTTTCCTCCATCTTGTTCACAATTTTCTAATCATCATGGTAGATTAAACACTGAGGTTTAGAGTTCATCAGTATTACCTCTAATCTTATAAAAGGGAAAGGCTTAATACAGAATTTCTTGAATCGACGATTAAAAATTGATACTTGTAGTAAGAAACAGTATGGCCCAGGCAGTGGGATCAAATGCCAAAAATAAAGAGTATGCTATAATAATTTGTTCAAATTTTTATCCTCCATAAACACAAGCTCGTATGGTTTGGGGGTAGAGCGTATATCCCCACAATACACATGAACATGTAGGAGTGCCTGTTTTTTGTTTGTTTGCATGTTTTTTTCTCTTCTCTCATTAATCAACACCTGTGAAATATCAAAATAAAGGAGGTTCATTTCGATTCTGGTATACATTTATATCCACCTGAATCGAACATTCAATAGGTCATTTGCGGACGCTATTTAAGAGAATGATATGTTGCAAAAATGTTCCTTAGTATACGATCTTAAGTCGCTATTTGAGCGGTTTGTCGCAACGACTTGTCACTGTCTCTCGACTTACGCGTTAGCATTTACGGCGTCATACTTCCAGACATTTCTTTTATCATCACATTAATCAAAAAAATGTGTTCAGAATATGAAACCTCAAAATAAACTTATAGTGGATCGCAAATTATTGTAATTGTAGTTCCTTACGATAGAAAATGATACGTAAGTAAAAACAAAGCCAGAATAAAAAACGATGGCTACGGTGTATCATGGGGAAGATAAGAACGGATTGACGATGAGGTCCTTAATTCTTCAAGATGGACCAACCGTGACGACGTCGATAAAAAAAAAAATACTTAGAGTGCCTCGAATCAGTTACCTGTAGATGTTTTACGCTGTCTTCATGGGCCCGCCGAGTGGTTTCGTTTTGTTTCTCCAGGTAGCGCTTCTTCCACTCAATCATCTGCTGTGAGTGTTGTTGTCTTCTTTCCTTTGTCAGCTGCTCAATTTGGTGGTTTCTGCGAGCCTCGGCAAACTGAAAGAGTAATGAAATCAAGCTTGAAATCCCTTCTCATCTAACACTTATTAAGGGCGCTCGAACCAAGAGGCTCGTTGCATCGAGGTTTGTCCTTGTCTATTAAACAGAGATCATTTCTACCGCAAAGGACCAAATAGAATAAAAGTCTGCGTTGAAGTTCAAAACACTGGGTTTATTCGAATAGGTTGGTGAGGGGTAGCACGGTCATTGGATTGTGTTTTCTGTACGCAAAAAAATATCTCGTCCCTGAGTGGTCCATGACGAACGTCTGAAAAGGTTTAAACACTAAGCTTGGTTTGACTGCCACAATTATTGTATGAAATGATTTATTCAAACAAGGCGAGAGTATTTTCAAAGTCATTAAAAAAAGGGAAGAAAGCATACACTGTAAGGTGTCACCTCCAATAAGCAAAACATTTGGAAATACCTTGTTCATGCCCATGTCCCTACCTGGCCTCGTTCCTCAATCTCTTTTCCTTGTCGATCGAGTTCCAGATATTCTGCCGCTTGCTTGGCTTGCTTCTGGCTGACCGAATTGTGTTGAAGCCTGCGATTAATATCTGTCATCTTTCTACCCTCTAGAACAAGAGCACGAGAAAGAGATACAGCATTAAGCTAAAGGTAACTTTCTGAGCTAGACTCAATAAGCACAGGGAATAGTTTGGGCGGCAAGAGGAAATGTGACATCTTAGTGTGTGGTAAATTTGCTGATCTCGCGTGCAAGTTTTTCAATCCGCAAACTTAAGCAGTACATATGTCCCAAACGTCGTGGGGTTAACGAGAATTCATTTATCAAAGGCTGTAACTTTTCTGCGTAATAAAGAAGCGTCGATGTGCTGACCAATTGAGGAAGGCCACATCAAATGAGTATTTTTAATCCGGAGTATTGGAAACGACTATCGGATGCTTTCTTAAAAAAGACTAGAGAAAAATTATTGACCAAGTGGACTCAATGGTTAAAGTAAGTGTTAAGAAGACGTTAATGAACTTGTGCGTGTGCGACTCGCGTGCGCGTGCTTTGGGACTACGTAGGTTAATAATATCGTAAGCAAATCACGCGGACCTTTTAATTTTGACGTGTGCGATTTTTTAGAGGGAGTTGAAAAGTTTTTTGAGTTTATCGAGTAGCAGTTTTGTTTCATGGTCGTTGTCGTTTACCGTGAGTCTACAGTTTACCGTGTTGGAATTAAAGTGTTTTTTTGGATTTCCCGTTTCGCTTTCGAACAGTAAGCGTATACTTGCAAAGCCTCACCATTACAATGCCTCACCATAACAAAACACCGAAAACACTTTAGTCAGACTCAATAAATACATCATTTTTTGGACTATTCTGTGCTCTGATTCGTTTTACGACTTTTTTTCGGAGACGAAATAATTTCTTCCCACTCTGTGTTTCAATTGTTGTTCCCCGTCTTGTCGTGACAAGTGGACTGAATTTAATTCACTCTACCTTCTAGGACCTCTCAGTTTTGTTTGTGGTTTTTGCTTTTTGTCTGTGGTCGCCAGCGTTTTCCCGCGCTTTAGGCACTTTTGGTCTTTTTCCTCTTCATTCTTATTGGCTCTTAAAGGTATTTTGCTTTCATCTGATTGATCTTTGCGATTACACTTTGATTTCGGTTTTTACTAAAGCCAATCGTTTGTTTCGTTTGCTTGACTGTTTCTCAGATACACACAATGGAGTTCGTTAGTTTGTTTACGTGTTTTCACCCATTAAAAGAGAATAAAATGTGAACGTACCTTCCCTTGACTTTAAAGACAGCATATCTTTGGAGACCATTAAGTCCCTGCTCAAACGCCGCTTGCCGTATTCATGTTTAAGTCCTTGGTTTTTTATTTCTCTGCGATAGAATGAACAGAATTAAAATGTTGATTACCAACATTTACTAGAAAGCTGAAGGCAATTGAAACTGATGGAAGACGCAGGTCAAAGATAAAAAGCCTGTTCTGTCTTTCTGAAAAAACCGCAAGGCCCCTGACCGGAGGGCCCCGCGAAATGCTAAATGGAAGCAGAAAGGGAGAAAGAGAGAGAGAGAGGGATCTACAGCAGCGATCATATAATAAAATGCTTATGAACTGAGTTACGTCGAACTGAATGGAGAAATACTGGGCTCTGACTGCCATGATGTAGGGACCTACTGCCCTCAGATCGTACATCATGACCTCGACGCCAAATGTGTTCCCGTCCAGCAATTCTACTCAGTCATCGAGTATATGACACTTACACACTGTATGCAAAACCCCCACAAATCATCAGCTGGTTTGTTTTTTTTTTAAATTTTTTTCCTTACTTTAGTCTCTCTGTCAAGCTTTGTTTTCGTCGTCTGTCATCCTATTGAGAAAATAATTACATAAAATTACCTCGTGTTTTAGATGCAAAAGCGAAGACATTGCCATAAGAGAGACAAACAAACGAAAGCAAACGACTGAAACATAAAAAAGCATGTGCATCTACAATAATTATGGGTAGAAGAGTTTCATTCTCAAACCTGAATATCTTTAATGCTTGTGTCCTTCACATATCTAAAAAATACAAAATCTTACACTGATCAACAATTCTGCAGTCGGCGATCAAGATATATAGCCAAGCCATTTTCATTGATTTTTCAAGAAAAAGTATTCTACCGCTTATTGTAATATTGTAGTTGTTGGCCTTTTCTTAAATTACTTCTGTTGTTTTTATTTTTCTGAACGGTGGTGCGATTTTTTTTTTAACCATGTAGGTGTAATATGATCCTATTACCTGTCATCATCTGTTTGCTGTGTCCTCTTTTTCAGCGCCATCTTGTTAGCTGCAATGGCAAGTTCAGCCAAGTTCTTTTTCAGTTCGAATCCTCTTTCCTGTTGAGAAATTAAGTTGTTCCTACATAACAATGCGGCTAAATGACTGTAAGTTCAAAGCATACTTGAGAAACTGACTTGACAAAGTTTATCTACATGTAGGTTAATTTCTATAAAATGGAGCAACCAGGGGAGGCAAAACACCTCAGGATGGGAAGCTAGAAATACAGTGTCAGTTGAGGAGAGCACAGTATTTTGCCCAAGAAACCAATGCAGTTAAGTCTGCCTTGACTCAAACTTGGACCATTCAATTTAGAGTCCAACCAGGCCACTGCTCCTAGCTTCCCTCGTTATTAGTGCCAGACCCCCAGCAAACCTCTCTTCAACTTGTCTGAACTCTTCTTGCAAGCAAAAAGCATGCCCTGCAGCCCTTATCATAATCAAGAGCCTGGAGTGCCAGTCCTCACTGGGTACCATACTGATAAGGAATTGATAGCCACTGATTCATTTCATGTTACAATTCACACATCTGCCTCCCTATAAATTCTGTATTCCTCAGACCATCACATCTCATGCTATGCACTTCAAAATTGAAAGAGGGTGTCCTTATGGTAAGGGATGATTACAACCCAAGATGGAAACAGATTTGAGTACTTCCAATTGGACAGTCCGACTGTGCAATTTTTCGAATGAACCAAACATGAAGAGAGTGGGTGGGGATTTTGGGAGATTCTCTTTCCTAAATGTCCATCCCGTATGAAATTTACATCAAGATGGCTCGCCTAGACTAGCATAGCTATCCAAGAGCCAGCCCAACTGTAGAATGTACATTTTAATAGAATAATTTCTTGTCAATAAATGTGGCACAAGTGAAATTTGACGATAAGAGTCACTGCTATTGTGTTGAAACATTTGTCAGTTACCACAAATTAGAGAAACCTAGATTAACTTTGACATGGAACAAAACAATCAAAATCTAATCAAATGCTAGCATTTTATCGAAAAACTTACCTCTATTCTTTTCAGATTCTCCTCAAACTGCTGAGTCAGCGAAAAGATTTCTGTTCTAGTGAGCTCTAGTTGCTTGGCTGTTCTACTGTACTGAAACTCAACTTCACCCCTGAAGGATCAAAGGTAAGGTGATAAAATGATGAAAGTGAACTTGCTTTTCATAAAATTTTAAAGGAATCAATCCCACAGCTTTTTTGCACGAAACATGATAACACTTTACTGATACCAATTCGTTCTCCTGGATGGAGAAAGGATTGGGATGATACAAAGTGTTTTGTGATTACCAGTGCTGAAAAATTACAACAGACTTAACCACTGAGCTCAGTTCTGCTAAGATTACACCATCCAGATAAATTAACACAACAGTGAAACCACTGCTGTTTGCATGTTATTTTTACAAGTGCGACCTTCAAGCTAGTGAGGTAAGCCACTACTTAAACTGCCTCATACACAAGTTCATTGTTTGCAGGGATCCAGATGAATTTTGATAACAGGGTTCATACCCCTTTTCAGAAACAAGTTTTTTTCCAGTACTCCAAATTTTATCTCAAAGCTTTTCATTCCGAAGTTTCAAAATCAATTCTCCTAACAGTCCATACATTTCTTATAATGTAAATTCTGAAACCATTATTGCTTGAGTTATGCAGATTTTCAGGACTTTCCAGACCTGGAGTCTTTTTCCAGGACTTTCCAGAGTCCTGGGTCCAGTTGTTCGAAGGACAATTAGCACTAACCCAAGGTTAAATTTTAATCCAGGTTTCCTTATTTCTCTATCCAAGAACCTTTTTGGGATAATTTTCCCTATTCTTTTGAGAGCATCTGACATCAAATTGTAGACAAAAATACTTAAACTGAACTTTCTGTCTCAAATTAAATTTCACACTAACGCAGGGGTTGCTAAAATGCGAGCTTGCGAGCCCGAGCCTTTTATGACGAGCCTGAGCCATTTTTTGCGAGCCCCGGGAAAATAACATCCAAATCTGGACATAATGCCTTTTTATGGTCATGGTCCCAGGTGTTCCTTGTTAAACTGCGGAAACTGAGGATGAGAGTGCGACAACTTGTCTTCTAATCGTGTGCTGGCTGATTGTAAACAACACAATTTTCGAAATGTTGTGTTTTGGGAAGGTCGCATGGCAAAGATTCCTGTCTTATAAGCTGTTCTCACATACAAACGCACACACCGTTTGTGGTAGGGCCCACACTAAAGGATGTCGAGTGCTTCCGCTCAAACTACGAAAATACTTGCAAAACTGTGACAGCTGATTAACAACAAACTATGAAGCTGATACGAACACCGCTCGAAGGTGGCGCTAACAACAGCCAATTGGATAGGGATACTGACAGAAGCAACATGAATAGTAATGTTAAATATCTAAGCTTAGCTCTTCCGTTAAATACCTGTTTCTGTAATTGGTTTCTATCGGGTTCAATACTTGTAAAGTATGATTTGATATTTCGTACATACTCACTATTATTATTGTGCAAGCGATCGTGAAAGTTGGTTTGCTCTTTGCATGGAGTTACGAGTGCTTAGTGGAAGACATGATGAATACTCTTGATGACTGTGATGTAC